ACACTTCTATCAATCGAAAGGAGACTGCGACCACACCAGAGGCTACAACATCTTGGTCTTCATCTATTCAATATTACCTTTGTTTATTCGTCTTATTTTCGCTGTTCAACACTCACGGCACAGTAAGGGGGATGTGAAGTCCAGCGGGGAGTGTGAATAGGTTTCAGCTAGGTTTAGATGGATAAGTATGAAATTGCGATAGTTTAGGAGTGATACGAGGATAGGTGAATAATCAAGGACAGAAGCTGAGATAACACAACGGTTTAGCAGATAATTGGTTAAAGGATCGGCTTCACTTATTTCTTTGACGAATTGTAGTGTGGTGTTAAGAATGACAAAGCTCATTGACGATGCCGGCGAAACGTCTTGAAATGTACCAAATCCATTGTTCGACTCTTGAAATGATCATGCATACTGTGGACTTCGGACAAGGTGCGTTCCTCTAGGCCTTTCTGCCAATATGACCAAGTTGCGAAAACAAGGTCTATCAATTTCTATACTTCGAAAGGAGACCGCGACCATACGAAAGGCCACACCATCCTGGTCTTCATATCTTCGACTAAATGGATTATGCTTTATATAGCTGGATACTAGAAATCTTGTTGGGCTCACATACTTCCTGATTTGATCAGATGCCAAGCATAAGACGCAGCATATGAACCGACATTCTTTTGAAGATCTCCCTTCATAGTAACGGACATATTAAGAATTCGCCTGCATTCGCACTTTTCCTATCAAACAAAAAATCGTAAAATAAAAGAATTCGAACGACAATTCATTCTTTTGTATATCAAATTACAGTGAGCAACTTATTATCAAAATCCCGTTGAATAAAACTTTGAGTCCTCTTGTATACTAATGCTTAGCAATGCGCACTTGAACGCCAGTCCCGAGTAGTTGGGGTTGGCAAATCCTCAATCCGCTTGAGCCTCATGTCTTGGTGCTTATCGTAGGTGAATTTACTTAAACGCTCTTCCAGAACTTCGTGAACGAGGCCAACTCTGAGGGTTAGGGCCAGCAACCATATTGCTTATTTATCCCATGAATGCCTCTGCATTTTAAACCGCAAATAATAATTTAGAACTAGATGATTGGAAGGCAACGGTGAAGTCAAATTTTTTTTTGATTGATGCGATGTCTATTAATGTGAATTAAGACTGACTGAAGATTTAATTTGAACTAGGTAGTGCGATAAAGCCGATGTTATTTGATCATAGGCTAACTTTAGCTTTTCTTTGTCCTTATGTGTTAGTTATCAGAAAATCATTTGTTTAAGAATTATTCAACCTTCATTTTTTGTTCTCAACTTATTTTAATGCCATGATAGCCTGAAATTGTGTCTAAGTGTCTAGAGACTGGTTTTTATCAAATGTTTGCATTAACGATAGAGAAGAAAAGACTATGAACACATGAATTTATACACATTTGACATTATTTTATATTGGTCCATCGAACTTGAAAGCATTTTCAGACAGGTCTGCTATTTGTATAATATACCCTTTTCCTAACCCTCATGTAAGTGAATTGGATATCTGTAGTGAATATTATGATAAATTACTTCTTTTTAATTTTATCTCTGTCGACTGACTTCAGCCTTATCCATATCCGATACCAAAAACCTATTTAGTACAATCGTACTAAAGAAACATAAAATAAATTCTAGATTTTAAGGCTAAGATGGTGTGGCCTTTTGTTTGGTCGCAGTCTCCTTAAGCTCTATAATGTTGGTTCGATCTCATTTTCACAACTTTTTCGGAGCGTTAAGAAGACCTTGTCGAACGTACCTAGTCCTGTATCCTCTGCTGATCCGATGCTTAATGGTTCGATGCTGGACATCAGGAATACAATGGCTGAGGACACTAGACTACGTAGGTTCCACAAGATCTTCCTGACGCTCCGACCAAGCTGCGAAAGCGAGGTCGGACCAACACTAAAATAAATTGACCTATCACCTTTTATCCAGAACGTGAATGTAACTAGGCCTGTCACTAATTTAAATTAAGAATTCACATGGCTTTATCACTTCAGCCAACACCTTTCTTAAGTCGTCTACCTTACACTATTTTGGATTATGTTCTAGAGTGAGGATTTGTTAGGTTATTTTGAGAAGACATTTACTATCATGTGACATTTTAATAAGCCCTATCCAGTAATTGGCATACATGTTATCTGTTTTCTCTACACGTTTCTTTTCATATTTCGTTGTCTACACTTTGACAGAACTAGCTATGCCTTGTTCTTTTTTTACGTATTGTCATCGGCAAATCTTGTTATCACTTGAGCCTCTTCTCTTTACTCTAGCTCATAACCATGCGCCTCTTGAGTTTATTTACTTTTGCCTTTGATATGTATTGAAACTCAAAAGTCGGTCCTCCTGATCAATTTTGTATTGAACATTTTAATTACTTCTCTTCCCATCCTTAGGCTCAGTACATTTCATATCCCATGTTTTATCCTCATCATCCTGTATATGAAATTAAAGAAACATTGATCTATCAAGAGATTACCCGAATATCAGTTTATATTTGCATAAACAATAACTGAATAAAATGGCAGATACTGATAGAGAGTGAGATATTATCAGGTATTTGGCTGTATCGTTAGCTGCTATTTCTGTTATACATTTGTTTACGCAGTGTCTGCTCATACTGGAGGACCCTCACAATTCACATAACCTTTAAAATGGGATATGTTACATCAATTCCTTGTTGCTGAATTTTCGTCCTAAGGCTGGGGAGTTACCCTGCCGTGAGCATTCTTTAGATTATATGATATAACTGCCAAGGGTCATAAAATAGCCTGTCCTCCATTCACATTCCAGTTAATGATTTAGATCATTAAGCTGAAATCATGTTAAATAGATTACTTTTAGGCGACCAAAACGAAATATAAACCGAGCATATAAATATATTTATCAACTCGTAGCTGTATTATCCAATTTCTCTCAGTATCATTTTAACTTATTTAGTTGATCATTTTTTCAGCTACATTTTTATACTTCTATTTTTCTTCCAGCTAATCCTTAGTGGCCTATTGGGAATCCAGGCTCGACATTTTGGTGATTCACTTCACAGCCTTGCTAACGAGAACTGTCTGGTAATTTTGAACCATCGTACCAACCTCGACTGGCTTTTTATCTGGGGCCTAGGCCGAAGGATCCACCAGCTAAAGATCTTTCTTAAACGTCAGCTCGGCCCACTCCCAGGAGTCGGTTGGGCCATGCAGTGTGCCGGCTTTGTTTTTCTCCACCGCCGGCTTGATCGTGATCAGATTCGGCTGGAGCAGGCTATTAAATATCTGGCCAAATGCAAAGGCCTTGTTCAAGTAGGTGTTATATGATTCTTTCCTTTTCCCGAATTTCCTTTTTGGAACTTTTATTTAGCCTCTTAACAGTTTAAGTGTTAGTGATAACTGATCCATTTTTGTTCGTAAACTCAGTGCTGATGGCTCCTTTTATTTATTATAACTTGTTTTTTTATTAAATATATAGCCATTAAAACTTTTTTGGTAACTCGCCTTCTTTAAAATAGCGCAGTGGTTGCTTCCATCAAATTTTATATTTTTTTATTCCTCACACTGTTATGGCCTCGTTTATAAGTTTTCTTACATTACTCCCTTATTGAAATATTTAAAAATTTATACTAGTTCTAGGCTTAAAGTTCGTCAAGTGTCACAAGTCCGTCCTGAACCAAATCACCTCTTACTTGATCATTGAAAGTTTTTATATAAATGTTAAATTAGGCCATGAAATTTATATTTATGATATTATTGGTCTATGGCCTTCCTATTTCTAACAAAAGCCGTGGCTCTATCACCACATGTACCATAAATTTACCTGAAAACGTTTATTTAAATTATAAGTTGTTTGACCTTGTTTTCGCAAATTGGTCATATTGGTAGGAAGACTTAGAGGAACGCACCAAGTCCGGATTCCTTTGTATGCATGATAATTTCCAAAGTCAGACCGTGGACGTGGTACATTCCCAGATGTTTAGCCGCCAACGTTAATGAGCCTTGCCATTCTTAGCACCATACTACAACTCGTCAAAGAAACAAATGGAGCCGATCCTTAGACCAAATGTGTGCTAAACAGTTGTGGTATCTCTACTTATGCTCTTGGCTTTTCGCGTATCTTATATCCTCGACCACACAAAAGGCCACACCATCTTGATCTTCATATCTTCGGTTAATTTAAATTAATTCTACCTTTTTGAGGCTACCTGATGATTCATATTGGAACTTATATCATATATATTGGCTGTCCTAGCTTTCTCTACTCTTCCTTTAGCATAACAGGAAAATGTCATGTATATAGATAACGATCGATTTTTAGATAAACTCTGTGGTATAACTGAGCGTATAAGGAATTATTCAATGTATTGCACATTTTCGTTTTTTATATGTTCGAACGTTAACATTGTATTATCTTTCATCATATCATACCCACGCACTATTTAAACTTTAGTTTATGCTGTTCCCCGAGGGCACAATCCTGAACAGCGGGATGCCTGGCAGTGATCGCTATGCCAAGAAGGCGGGTCTACCTATGCTCAATTATGTGCTCCATCCCAGACAGACTGGCTTTCTATTTATCGTTAACAGGATGCTGGAGTTAGGTAGGTACTGTCTGCCACCCTGCCAAACACCAGCTTCGCTATTAGTTGTTAGTTAAATATTCATTTGCGAAGAAAAGTTGGGTTTCGAGGAATCTCTTGCTTCATAATTGTTGAATGAATATTCATTGCTTTGTCAGTGTCCACTCGAGGGTCAATTTTTTAGTTCAAAATGGCTAATGAGGGAATCTGACTGGCTCCACGTTTAATTGTATTACGATACTCTTTGAATACGATTTCTAGTCACCTTAGGTCTCATACTGTAATCAAGGACTGATTACAATTATAGGCGTCACATTTCCACTGAATTACACTTGTCATTGCTTTCCAAAACATATTCCCATCCAAAGTTTTACTGCAGCCTCGACCTTGACTCAGTCTACCCAGCATCCCCACTGGGACTCGAACTCTGGTATTGCAACATATAATTTAGGCATGCCAGCGCTACGCCATACTGCTAATAGCTCACAGACTGACTTGGATTTCAAAGAAGACCATATAACTTGTATAGCGGAATTTTCGATGAAGCAAATTTGTATTTATGCCGATACTATATACGCCGTTACTTATACTCATAAAAACTAGGTTAAGACACTATCCTTCATCAGCTTATGCAGCCTAGGGTGACTAAAACTCAGATTCACGATTTAGTGATAGGTTCGGAACTAATTTTAATGAATTTAAGATAGTCTTATGTCTGAAATTATCTTTCGAGTCAGTGTTCTCCGTCTTTCTTTTGTCAAAGCGAATTAGCATTATGAGGTAAATTTACATTGCCAACAATAGCTTTGAATATACCGCTTAATTCCCATCTGTATTGGCCGTATTTCCATTTTGCAACTATAACTCTTTATAGAAGTTGTTTGACATTGTTTTCGCAATTTGGCCATATTCGTAGGAAGACTTAGAGGAACGCACTTAGTCCGGAGTCCATTGTATGCATGATCATTTCCAGTCGAACCGTGGACGTAGTAAATTCCGAGACGTTTCGCCGGCATCGTCAGGGAATCTCGCCATTCTTAGCACCACACAACAACTCGTCAAATAGACAAATGAAGCTGAACCTTTGACCAAACGTGTGCTAAACAGTTGTGGTATCTCTCCTTCTGCCCTGGGCTATTCAATTTGTACCGTGCTTATTTTGATGTAGTGTGGTGTGCTCCTTTAAGCGGCATTCATGAAAACCCTTCACACTCCACGCTGTCGTTCTCACCTCTTTCACCCTTGTGATGGGAATGCTGATCAGAGTCTGCCATATTGTTACGCAGTCCTCCTTCCCTAGGTCTTATCACAGTCTCTCTCTTGCCCTGTAAGATCCGTCTGATATATCCCTCGTTCACGTATTTCACTCGACCCCTGCCACCCCATCTGTGCTACTCGAGGCGTTATTCGCCCTCCTCTGCGCCTGAGTGACTAATTCGAGGCTCAAGCCTCTGAGTAAGTCTCATCGTCGAACCTTTGCTACATGGACCACGTTTCTGGTAAAACCTACTGTCAGCCCACTAAATCCAGTCTCGGCCGCGTATATCATGTTTTTATCCCTAATAGCAAGTGTTTGATTTGCTATGCCTTAGTCTTTCGTGTGCCAACTCACAAAGGTTTTGGTTTAACATTGAACCTAATCAGAGCAAGCAGACCACAACATTTGTGTGTTGGCAACCAAGAGACTAGGGTAGTGATTCCCAAACTGTGCGCCGTGGCATCTTTACAGGGACGCCGCAAAATATTGTAAAAGCTTCATAATTAATTTAACTCAGACATTTGGTCTAACTGAACAAAAACGTGAGAGAAAACGCTGCATCTTCTCGATTGCGCCATATGATCGCACTAGACACTTCGAGGTGCGTAGAACCTTCGCGACAAATGTGCAATGTTCTGGAGGATCTTGCGGAAAGTATATAAGCAAACGTTGCTGGCTCGATTTAGTCATTCGACTTATAATTTGAGTCTAGTGAAGTTAAACTCAGCGCCTCATATATAAATAAACAGTGACATAAATTAGTAGATGAGTTCATATTGTAATTTAGTTAGTGTTATATTACTTCTTGTTTGGTGTCTTTGATAAATTGGAATTGACAGAATTTTGAATTTCAATAAGAGATGAATATCCTCTTCTAAGTGATAAGGCTCAGCGGATTATAATTCCATCTTCGACGTCGTATTTGTGCGAACCTGGGTTTTCGGCGGTCGCTGTAATAAAAATCAAGTA